AAATAGCATGCTTCAAGTGAAGCAAAAAAGTTCTATAAAAACAGTTACTACATCAGAACATATTCCGAATTGGTGATTATGCTTAACCAAGAGGCATGTGGTAGAGTGCACCTTATTATTCAGAAAAATACAGCTTATGCTAAAAAAACAAAGATTGGTGAAGCAGAAACTGTTACTTTCATGTGTTTCTCTATTTTTTTTCTACTAACGATATTTTCTGCAGTAAGTTCATGTAACATTTCTTCATATTTTGCTGTAATTGAATTCCTTCTCAAAAGAGCTCTCCTCTTTTTCTTTTTTCTTTTTTTTGGTATGACTTCTTATTCACAGTAGATTAGGATTTTTAGTGAAGTTTACAGAACAAGACCCTAAACCTAAAACATCTGTCAAAGAGGACATACAACTCATTATTCACCAGAAATTGTAGAAAAAACTTACTAAATAGCAAAAGTTGCAGACACATATAACAAAATGCAAAGTACTAATGCTCCAAAGTGATGACATGTTTGCCTGATGCGGGCCTTTCAAGGTTTATGTTAGATAATTAATACACCACAGTGTTCAGTTCTTAGTTTAAGGACCAAGTACTTTCCAGACAATCAGGCATCCAGCCACATACATAGATCTGTAAAAAAATACAGATTGATCTTCATGTAGTCATCCTTTATCCGTTTAATGCTTCGTTACTTTGCCTCCTCATACTGACATACTTCCCTCTTGAAGTCCACTTTTACACAAAGCCAGCTGTCTTGACCTATTCTTTACCAAGTTCCTCAGATAGCACCATACTTTACCCATAAACTAATAAGCATAAGAAATAGTTGTTTACAAGCACGTCTGTCAATTACTTTATTTAAATCATACCATCACATTAATCCTTTTCTCATTATGGGGTGTTAGCTACATAGCGTTACTCAAAGTTGAGAAAGAATGATTTTTCCCATTATGGGGGTGTTAGCTAAGTAGCCTTACTCAAAGTTAACAAAGAATGACGGCTCTCCATCGGATGTCAGCCCCACCAACTTGATAGAATTTCTGACCAAACCAACTATAAGATAAAGGACCTTCTCGATAGTAATCGGTATAGTGGGAGCTTAGATGACTGCATTTTACCAAAGATGAATGCAAAATTTTCATCATTTTGACGGAGGAGTTCATTGTAAATATGTTCTATTCCTCTTCAGACTTCACAGTTTCATATGAGTGTGAGTGCACCTTTACCTAGATTTTACTTGCTCTAATCTGTGAAGTGATCCATGCCAACTTAATTGTTTAACCTCTCATGCAACAATCCTTCACAATGATAAGGAAAGTTAAAATAATTAACAGGGAAAATATTACGCACAAGAGTACTTTTCATCACTTGAAGATAATGCAATTGGTGATGACTGGCATGCCTAAAATCCATTGCGAATCAAATTCTGTAGTATGAAGTACTAAAATGTACTATCACGTAATATAATATTGAAGTAATAAATACATTTTATAGCAGCCAGTAAAGATACATACAAGATGGAGATCACCTCAAACACCGAAGCCCAATAGTAATCATCATGACATCGATATCTTTTCGCCTTTAGAATTTCTTATTTTGTGCCTTTAGAATTGTTTAGCTTTAGTAGTTTCTTTTCTCCTATAAGAATTTTGCAGTTAATGTAAAAAAAAAAAATTTTGGGGTCATTTAGTTGATGAGTATATCATTCATTGTTTGTTTTCTAAGTCATAATATATTGTAACAGGTAGTTAGTTCGTGTATATAGTTAGAAGTTAAGATACAATTGAACACCACAACAATGTCGATGTTACAATAAAATGATCTCATGAAATTTAACCAGGTATCTTGCTAAAAAATGTTTACATCTTTCAAATGTTGAGAATTTACACAACTTTAACCAAATTATGGATGCAGAATATACAAAATAAATAATATTTGACAGAATGCAAGAATAATAATTGAATGAACTTCAAATATAAGATGTTACATTGCTTTAGAAAATTTATTGTACAGAAGTTCTAGGTACAACAATTCACTTCATTAAATTCAAACTTTAAGATCTCTTATAGTTACATGTCTCAATCCCCATCATACTTACACCAACAAAAACATTAAATTGGCCAAACATCAGGTAGGATTGGTCACTGGTGAATGGATTCATAGACTTCTAAGTTGAGGAAAACCTATAGTGTGATTTATTTCCCAACAATATATAATCATATTGTATAAGATGGCTATCTGGGGCTTTGCTACCTATTTGCGTTTAGACTTTAGCTTTACATGCAAAACAATACTAAAGTGATCTATTTTTTTAAGGAAAGAACTTTATCTATTTACACATCTACTTTTTTACTTATTCCTGAGAATAATTGTCAATATTGTGCAAGTAATTCCTAGCTGTTTTTGCTACAAATTATGTCATTTTTTATTATTTTCAAATGAAAATGGGTTAGTTTTTGTTTTAGTGTATAATCTGCTGGGATTTTCTCCCGAATGTTGACTGTGGCTTGGTGAAACTTGTTTCTTAACTGTATCAAATACATCACCATATATATGATCTGGATTTTTAACTGATAAAAGTGGTGCCCATGTATAAATTCGACTCATACTATCATGGATATTTCTATATTATAAATTCGACTCATACGAATCATATGTCAATTAATACCTTTTTCTCTCGCTTAATCAAACTTGCTGAGAATAGCAAGCAACTCGGATTATATATGATTACCTTGTTTATTGAAAAATTAGCAAGAAGAAACCTTGAGCTGTCCATTAATAATATATTTGGTTGAAATTTTTTGTTTTCATTTGATCATGTAATTGTTGTCCAAGCCACATTCCATTCTATTCAATGTGTCGGCTAACCCTTTTCTTGGCCACACTTCATTAGTGTAAATTCGACTACATGTGAATAAAAAATGACAATTTAATACCTTTTTCCCACAAAGCTCCGCTGTAATTTTCTGTTACTGACTCAAATTTCAATACAATACAGTAATCTGAGTATCAACTTGGATTATGATTACCTTTGTTTCTTTAAAAATAATGAGAAGAACAATATAGACATAATTTCGTGAGTTTTTGACCATCATTCGAAATAGCAGTTTTGTTCTATTCACTAAACATTATTCAGGCTCAAATATGAGTATCCATTTGCTTATCCTTGTTCTTGGACATATTTCGTTAGTGTAAGTTCGACTACATATGAACCAAACATGACAATTTAATGCCTTTTTTAATATATAAAATGTGACTGTAATTTTCTTTTGCTTAATAAAATTTCAATAAAAGTAATCAACATGGATTATGATTACCTTGTTTCTTGGAAAATACCAAGAAGACACCTTGAGTTGCTCATGTGATCATGAGTAGATGTCATTATATTCATAAACATTATTGAAATTCAAAGATGGCACAACCCTTTTTCTCTTTTCTTGAAAATTATTATTAGATTAATTTAATTGATGAAAAAAGTAGATGTGATCTCTCCCTTTTGTTTGGCTTGTTCCTAGCTTCAGTTTAATAGTTATGAATAGCTTGGTCAAATCAATGTTATGTTGGATTAATTTTCAAAGGTCCTCTTCCACGTAGTTGTGTTTTCATCTTGTCATACTCAAATAGATCCAAGATAATTTTTTGAAGTATCTCATTTATATTGTGGTGTGCTCCTTAAACGTTTGTAGACTGATTTAGGCTTACCTGGTCCGTAGATTGCCAATTAAAATTGACCAATTGACTCTAATCCCTCTACATTACTAAGGTTGAACAATTGAAGAAAATCTGTAGCAACAGGTAATCCAGGACAATCCATTAAAGTGGCATGAGAAATGCCTCGAGTTCTTGGTAAGCAACATGGCTTGAAACCCTTTAATACGAGGTAGTTATAAACTTTGGACATCATGAATAGAAGTTGGTATTTTCGTCTGCGGCAGTTAGTTTTACTGTTTTCTTTTTAGTTATGCAATTTGTCAGTTTTCATCTTTTTATGAAGGAGCATTTATTATTGGAGGTGCTGAATTGAATTGGAACTTTCGGTAGTTAAATTCTATCGTATATGAATCAAACGTAGACAGAGAGCTTCATATCAACCAGAGAACTCAAGGTTGATACATGCTACCCCACTGTAAATATGAAATGCTGGGCTGCATTTACATGTCGGCACTATTAAAGGCTCAATTTGAGAAAATGATTTTACTCCCATGCCTTTTCAGGGCCAAAGTTGGAGACTCCTTAAGTTTGTCTTACATTCAAGATGAAGGTGGTGACTGCCATCTATTTATATATCTTGGATTGTGATACTTGTCTCTGACTATTCCCATCAGCATGTGGAGATCATTTGGTACCCTTCTCTACTTCTATTTCAAAAAAATGTTGTGCCTTTACTTCATGAATGAATTACAGTCAGAGAAGCCAATCAAAAGATGTACAAGCAAATAATTGACATGAACATGACTCAAAAGGTTTATTCTAATCTTTCTCTCATAAACTTCAGCATTTTCATTAGTTACTAATTCTGATTGTACTGTGCATGTTTTTGTACTAACCATTTAGCGAAGTCCTGGTTTCTTTGCTCATATTTTGTGTACAGATATGATTGACTATTTTGTTTATGTTACATAAACAAATAATGCTTTGTGCATATGCAATAGGTAAAATTCAGTAGTATGGCTGTCAATATCTTATGACTTGTAATATGTATATATGTTGATCCACACACACCCGTACATATTATGCATCCAAGTTAATAAGAGGGCAAGAAAGTGATTTATTCTTCTAACCTGAATATCAACTTGGATTATGATTGCCCTCTTTAAAAAATATATAGTTGCTAATCTGTGTCTAAGACAATCAACATGCAAATATTTCATGAACTGGGTTCTTTGTTAGTCCATTTGTTCCCTAAAAGACTGCTTAATGCTTCTACTGAGAACACTCTTGCTTTTTTAGTGTGCGATGAGAAGTTCTTTTCTGAATTGGCAAGGGAGGCTTCAAAGGTAGCAGGATGTTTCAGCTCCAGAGTAAGACGTCTGCTCCATCTCCATGTTACTCCTGGAGGTATTCAAAGATATATGTGGAAATTGCGCCATTGCTTCACAGAGATGATCAGCAAGTCATGGTTCAAGAAGGAAGGCTTTTACTTGATTATGTTACCATGAATGCTATTGCTATTCAAAAGATATTAAAGAAGTATGACAAAGTAAGTAATTCAACACTTATTGTGTTCCAGATATCCATTGTGTAAATTCTTACGTTATTAGTTTAATATATGGCAGGTACATGGATCTGTTACTGGCAGAAATTTTAAGACTGAAATGCATGATAAGAGGATTGAACTTTTGCAGTCACCTTGGCTAATTGAACTAGGTGCATTTTATGTAAACTTTACGGGGTCGGACATTGGAGAACCTGGAGATTTTTTCAGATAATTCTCTTGTGATTTAAGTGGTACACAACCTGTAATGTCTATGAACTTTTCTGACTCCATTAAGTATGAGTACAGTCTTACATGTGTTGTTTGCCTGGAAAGATATTTGCTTCCATTCTTCATAATGTTAGATGTTTACTGTTCTGTGCTTTATCTAATTTAAGAAAAAGATTATAGTATTCCATTTCCATAGTCCAAATATTCAGTAATTTTGAAATGCAGGCCTATTTGTAAGAGGATTTTCCTGTCCTTCTCTTTTCTAAAACCACATTTGTTACTTCACTACTTCTCTGCAAATTTTTTTATGATGAATTTAACTTTTTTTTCCAAGGGATATGATGAATATCCTCTTGTTCCATGCATAAAGTAATAGTTGGCAAATACTTATGTCGATAACAATCTGAAAGCCTGACTGGTTGATGGTTGGACTGGAAATTTTCTGTTCGATTTGCTATCAAATTTGCATTCAAGGTTTAATTTTGAGATTATGCCTATATGTTTGATCCATTGCTTATATTAAATAATTTAATAACAATATTTCCCAAAATAAAATTATGCATTTATAATAAATGATAAAAAAATTTACCACGTGTATTGCACGTGTATAAAACCTAGTATTAGTAAAAGAAACACTAGAGGCACACCCTTGGACACAATCTCAACCACACCCCCTCACCTGTTACAGTGCAGGGGGTCCCACATGGGATTTTTAAAAAAATCCCATGTGGGACCCCCTGCACTGTAACAGGTGAGGGGGTGTGGTTGGGATTGTGTCCAAGGGTGTGCCTCTAGTGCCACTCTATTAGTAATATCTATGTGTGTGGGGGTGATTGTGTATGTGTGCTGTTCAAGAGAGTTTCTGTTCTGTTTTTTTGTTTTTTTTTTAATTTTTTTGTCGGGTGGTGGAGGGGGAAGTTAAAGCACTGAATTAGTGTGCAGTTGCCGAACACATCAAACACAAAATTTTGACCAGTAATTCTACAGTTTAGTAAAGTTGAAACTACTATATTACATGCTCGTATGCGTCATTGATGAGGATGTGACAGTGCACGATCAATTTAGCTGAAAAAAATATAGCCGCTTAACATAACTGAATGATTAAAAATGATTCATCACGCAACATTGTATTTGGATCACTTGTAAAAAGGGTGCTGTTGCAAAACCACTTTCTTACAAGCTACAACCAATCAAAATGGTCCCCCAAAAAAAACGTTTCACATTTTTGCTCTTCTTCTCTTCCTATAAAATCTTTTTTTTTGGAAAATGAGGAAGACTCAGGGTCCCGTCCACAAAGTGTTGGGGTTGAACACACAAACGACAACTCTTGCCCTTCCGAATCTTGTGTCAAGAATAGGCAAGTACAAAATCATAGCAAATAAAAAAAACTTGCAGGAAATAATGAACAAAAGAAGAAAACACCAGATTTAACGAGGTTCGACAAACGTGCATACGTCCTCGGGAGCCACACCAGAAAGTTTTGATTAATTGAAGAAGATTACAATGCTCGTAATAGGCCACTATCTCTCTAAGATCTCTGATCTCAAAGTACCACCAAAACCCTCTCAAAGACGCCATCACATAACCCTAAAAACGTTTTAGAAAACATATGTATATTCAGCCCAAAAACAGAATCCAACCCGAATCAGGAAACTGCCAGACCCGACTTTGGTCGACCGATAGCATTGCATCGGTCAACCGATATCTTGCTTCGGTCGATCGACCAGAACCCAGTTTTCTACAGGGTTTTCATGCACGCTTTCGGTCGACCGGGACAAGCCTGTCGGTCGACCATCCCGAAACTCCTGTAATTTTTCTTAGCTTCACATTGGTCGACCGATGAGCTTGTGTCGGTCGATCGATAAGAGGATTTTTGTGTTGTTTGTGTTTTTCAATTCCAGGTTTGGTTCTCCACTCCCAAAACCAACAATCTTCCACTTGGAGACCAAACCGTCATCAACGAGCTCTCCCGAAATCCCGTCATCTTCGCAAGTATCTTCTCCTACCCGGAAAAAATCCATTCTTCATTCAATATCATCTTGGCAATCCCTCCAATCCTCTTAGTGTGGCTCCGTCTTCGTCTTCTACGCATGAAGGCCAACTGAAGTTGCGCACAACTTCAGTGTCTCGATGATCACTGCTTTTGTCAACATATCTGCAAAATTTTGGCTCCCCAAAATCTTCTCCAACTGTAACTTCTCATCCACTATCAACAAGCGTATAAAATGGTAACGTAAGTCGAAGTGCTTCGTTCTGGCATAATATACTAGATTCTTGGTAAGGTGTATGGCACTCTGGCTATCACAATAAGAACATCGTTCCCCTGCTTCAAACTCAGCTCTTCCAGGCACCCGGTCAACCAAATCATCTCCTTGGTTGCTTCAGTTACTGTGACATACTCTACCTCAGTCATGGATAATGTTACTATCTTCTGCAAACGTGAGACCCAGCTACTGCTGTCGATGTTAAAGTATAAATATACCCGTTGGTACTTCACCTCGTATCATGATCATCGGTAAAATCTGCATCCACGTATCCATGCAGTACCAATTTCTTCCTCCTGAAACACAATGGCATATCTGTAGTCCCTCTCAAGAATCACAATATCCACTTCACGGCCTCCCAATGCTGCTTCCCTGGATTGCTTGCAAACCTGCTCACAACTCCCACTACATGGGCGATATCCGACCTCGTGCAAACCATCACGTACATAAGACTACCAATGGCTGATGAATATGGCACTCTGCTCATGTACTCCTTCTCTACATCTGTCTTGGGTGATTTCTCCTCAGATAACTTGAATTGACTTCCAAGGGCGTTCCGACATGCTTGGTATTCTCCATGTTGAATCTCTAAAGTACCTTTTCAATGTATTTAGCCCGACTCAATTTCAACGTCCCTTCAGCTTCATCTCGATTGATTCGCATCCCAATAATTTGCTTCGTTGCGCCCAGATCCTTTATAGCAAACTCTTTCGCCAACTACTTCTTCAATTTGTTTATCTCTTCTAAACATGGTCCTACAACTAACATGTTATCAACATATAATAATAACACGATATAGCTAGACTCGAACCTCTTGAAGTAGCAATAATAATCTGAATTACATCTTTCATAGCCATTGTTCTGCATGAAGTTATTGAACTTCTTGTACCACTGTCTCAGAGCCTGTTTCAAACCGAACAAGCTCTTCTTGAGCCTACACATCATCTCTTCCTTTCATTCTTCTATAAAGCCAACATGTTACTTCATGTAATTTTTTTCATCCAAGTCATCATGAAGAAAGGCAATCTTCACATCCAGCTGCTCAAGGTAAAGATTTTCAGCAGCTACTAAGCTCAATACCACTCTGATGATTGTAAGCTTCACGGCAGGAGAAAATATCTCTGTATAATCTACTTCTTCCCGTTGTTGGAACCCTTTCATAATTAATCTGGCCTTGTACCTTTTGCTTCCATTACTCTCATGCTTGACTCGGTAGACTCACTTGTTATGTAAGGCTTTCTTCTAATGCAGGTAGCTGGGCTAACTCCCAAGTCTCATTCGAGTGGAGAGAATCCATCTCTTCTTACATTGCATGCTCCTACTGCTGAGATTTACTAACTTTCATAGCCTCCTCATAGCATTTCGGTTCTCTACTATCTGTCAAAAGTAAATAATCTAGTGATGAAAGATATCTGGGATTCGGTTTGGGTACCCTGGATGACCTCCTAAGCTCCACGCCCTGGGTAGTAGTCTCTGCACCTGGAGTCTCCTCCGTTCTTCAGTCATAACTGACACTATCTCCCCATCTGGAATGTAGGTGTCAAAAATTATTTATGGGCTCTCGCACGCAGCTTGAAGAAGAAAGAAGATGATAAACGTCACTATTCGAGTCACAGAAGCTTAATTGACGTCGATGAGCGCATGAAAATAAGATCCATACTTGTAGACGAAACAACTTTAATAGTTGATACTACAGCCCGACATTTGGGACTACCACGCTTCAATGCCTTAAGAGCCTAAACTGTGTAGACTCCAGTCAACGCCGGTCAACGCGTTCTGATGAGAGTTAGCCTCAAGTTAACTCTGGTCAATGGGTTGCGATTATAGTCAACACGCGTTGTGATGAAAGTTAACGTTGATCAACGTGTTGTAATGAGAGTTAACACATAGCCCTGAGTCAATGCCGGTCAGCGCGTAGCCTCAGGTCAACTCCGGTCAATGCGTTACAATGATAGTCAACGCGTAGCCTCTGATCAACACCGATCAATGTGCTACGATGAAAGTCAACGTCGATCAACGCGTTGTAATGATAGCTAACGCGTAGCCTCTGATCAACGCATGGCAATGACGGTCAACGCGTCTCCGGCACAGGCAAAGATCCCACGTGAAGTATTAGGAGATAAACTATTGCGGAGATAAACTATTGCTGCGTTTTGTTGGATAAAGTTATACTTTTTTATTTTTTTATTTTAAGAAGATCTTATAAAAAGATCGACTTTTCTTTCAGTTCAGACTTATAATCGATAAACGGTGTAACAGGTTCGAAAGCAATGGAAAAAACAACTTTTAATGAAAACAAGCTGTCGATTACAGTGGGAGCCAACAGCCTTACTGTCAAGGTTGTCGTGCCGCAACCGACGATCAAGATCCCCATGGCTGAAGAGGTCGAATACGAGTTCGACCAACAGAAATTTGAGGTGTACGTCTCCTCCTTCTCCTCTTCCAGATCCGCCTCTCCTCACAAGTGTAGGAAGATCTCCTCCTCACGGAAGATCCGCTAGTCTTTTGATTTGAAGACCCAAGAAGACGATCTCCTCATTATCGTTGCTGCAGTTGCACCTTATAATGATCTGCTGACGTCCGATGAAATCAAAGCCGCAGATCCGGACACCACCTCCATTAAAGAGTTGACTGCTGAAGGCGCGCCATCTTTATCGAAGAGGGCTCGTCAAATGCGTCGCCAACATTTCGCCCACCAATTTGCTAAGGCTTTGAAGCAAGTGGATGGGTTCCGCTACCA